AGGCCAGTGAGTAAAACAATGTGTAATAAACTACGTGTGTGTGTGTGTGTGTGTGTGGTAATGAATAATAACTCTGATATTGACAGAGAGACTAACAGCTGACCTTGTCGATTCTTAACATCTTCTGGTCTTGGTACTAATTATTCTTAGCATCATGGTCAGTTTAAGACTGGACCTTGTCTTAATCCCAAAAAGTCTAAAGATTGTCTTAGTCCCTACAGTCATGTCCTCGTCCCTCCAAGTCTCACTCTTATTTGTCTGATCGCTGCCCTTTGAATCCTAATCCAACAACCACTGGGGTTGATCTGGTCTCAAACTGGATTCCACTGATATGGTCACCTATATTCCTGGTGACGGTTCCTGAAGGGTCTCTGTGCCACAGACACGACGCGGCCTCTTCAGGTCTTCAACTCTAAAGTCTTTGACCTTGTTCTGGTCTCCAAAGGTCCTGACCTGCCTGAGTCCCTTCAAGGCCTCGTCTTGATGCTGTAACATTAAACCCAGAGACTTCAGCTCCCCACATGTCCATACATGTCCACGTCCTAATCACTTTCAGTTTTGACGCCCTGTCTGACATGTCACCACTTCCCATTTACAGACCTGCTCTGTGATAATTCCCATGATCCTCTGAGGGCAGCAGCTCTGTCCCGTCTCTCTCTGCGTCTCATTTTATACCCGCCATGACAGATTGATTGACAGTCTGACAGGACACAGCGATGTCTCATCGTAGCGTCAGTGCTGTCTCTGTCTTCTTTAATTACAGACTCTTTGAAGACGGTCGGGGAAAAAAAAAAAAACACGGCACTGCTGAACACCAGGCAGGTGACGGTCGAACAGGAAACTGCTCACACACTGACACAGGTCTGAAAACTCAGGAGGAGAATCTGATCTCAGCACAGTCAACACACCATATACACATACATATATGTACATATACATACATATATCTGTATATATTTATATATACAGATATATGTATATATATATACTGTATATACGTATATACACTTATCATAGATGTGTGGTATATAGAGCAGCCAAGTCATATGTTGATGCAGAACAGCACATCAAAATGCCAGAAGAAAATAAGTAATCAGATCAATCAAATTATCAATAGTTATATTATAAAAATATAATATAATAAAAATGAACATTTCAAGGAAAAGTTAAATAAATAAACTAGTCGAGTGCACCTGTATATCCAAGAATTCCAAGAATTCCAAGTCTATCCACTTATTATTGTTTTGACCACATTTAGGATTTTTTTTTCCAGATTAATCGTGAAAAATAATAATTATCAAATAATCATGGTTGATAATGATTAATCTAAAGTTACCCTGTGAAAAATCTGATTAAAATTCTAATTATTTTTTCAAGATAGAAAGAGGTAAAAATGTTAATTGTTATTTCCTAAAATGGCTTTTAAAAATGTACTTTTTAAAAAATGAATAAAAAAGAAAAGAAAAAGAAAAAGTCAAAAATTCAAATATGAACAAAAGGTAAAATAAATAAATAAAAACTTTACATAAAAAGTTTACATTAATAAGTGTGTGTGTGCATCGGTGTGTGTGTGTGTCTGAACCAGGTGCTCTGTCAGTCTGTTGTAAACACACTTTGCAAACACACACACACACACCTACATATACACAGACTGTTCTCTCTCTCTCTCACACACACACACCTGCATTACTGCTCTAATCATCGTCCGTCTGTCTGCAGCTTCTTCATCATCAAACACCACATGTTGTTTTAACAAACACCAAACACAACCTGTTTGGGTTTTTTTCATAAATCCAAAAATATTTCCCCAAACCTGAGACTAAACTTTCTTTAATGGACAGCTGCTGTCATGGAGTTCTCCCCGCCTGTAATCCAGTCCTCCGTTAAACTTGGAGTTTGGTAGAAAAGGCTGCACAGAACAGCACTGTGATAAACTATTTAACATAATAATAATTAAAAGGAATAAAAAGGGTTCAGTAAAAAATAAGGAGTTAAAAATGAAAAGCAACTGGTGTTCAAAATAAAAAGTATAAGAATACATGATAGACCATGTTGATAACACCAGAGGACGATGGTAGAAAAAGTACTTCAGAATGGGTACATTAAAATATATATATATATATCAATCGTTGAAAATGTTTTTAAAAATATATCAATCGTTATGACAAAGTACTGGAAGCTACAGCATGTGAAAGAATAGAGATTCTTCACTAAAACTCAAACGGTGAATTGTGTGAATGAACACACACACGTGGAGGATGGACAGGCTGAGGAAATGAAAACTGATGAGATGTCACCTCTTCATCTTCACACTGATGAAGATGAAACAACTTTTCTGTGTCCACGTTTCTGCCCAACCTTCTTCCTGTTTGCTGACACACACACACACACACACACACACACACACACACACACACCCTTCTTTCTCTCTCTTCATTAACGTTATCAACCTCTCTGGCCTAATCTCTCTGAAATTAGCGTCTGTTCTCCGACACCACGCTGACGTGCTGGCATTCATTAGCGTCTGGTTTTAGTCAAATCAATCACTACTAATGCTGCTGCCGCTGCTGATGCTGCTGTTGCTGTTGCGCCCAGCAGCCCCGTGCCGCGCGTCCTCAACGCTTTTCTCAAATGTCATCCTCAAACTTCTCACAATCAATTAGTGTGCAGATTAATGAAGCCAATTTACCACCAACATGTCGACCTGCGCTCTCTGCTGAAAAGGCCGAGTGTGCATGGAACGGCGCACGTGCACGTGCACGCGCACACACTTGTGTAGCCGCAGAAATCACAAAAAAGCTGCAAAAATGAAATGGAATGATTGAAACATTCACCGCTCAAAAAGCACCGGAACTAACACTAGAAAAATATCAATTACAGGAACGGTTCTATGGGAATAAGTAACAGAAGACACACATCCAGTGCAGGAAATGGTACTAAGAGCTGGGAGCAGCATCCAAACCCTTTAATTCTAGGAACCATAAAAAAAAACAGCAGCTACATTTGCATTTCTGCCAATGAAACAAGAGCAACAACCACAAACAGTACCGTGAACTGTTCTATTTCTACCATAGGAACAGGTACTAGTGGAACCAGACATGATGACAGAAAACAGGGACTAGGTAAAGAACCAGGACCAGTGACAGGGACTAGATGTTGTTCCACTGCAGGAACTGGTGTCAGGGTTACAGGACTAACAGTACCAGGAACTATATGACAAGGTAGACCATTTAGCAAGTAACATTTAGCACTCACTCACACTCACACACACACACTCACACTCACACACTCACACACTCAGTGACTGTGTTACTTTTCTCACAGCTGCCTCTAATCTACCTCAGATGGTTGTCATAGCACTTCTCTTGGGACCATAACAAGGCATTATGGGATGTCTGGGAGAGAAGGGGAGCAGATTGAACCAGCGACACACTCGCTCCTGCACATAAGGTCATGTCGGTGAAAATAGAGGAGCAACAGATGATCGAAAAAAAAAAACAATAAACAACAGACAGTGTTTGTGTAGATCAGTTTTGTTTTCTGCCATGTGGGAGAAGGGGTGGGGCTTATATATACATGGGCGGGGGGCTGGGGGGGCACATCAGAATCTGATTGGTTGCAAACACAGCTTTACAGCCTGGTTGTTTTTAATTAAAAACTTTCTTTCCTGCACTGGAGTCCATGAGGAAAATGGCTGCTGAAGAACAGTGACCTCCATGTTCTTCCATGATAGAGCCAATGATTTTCTCCATGGACTTTGGTGGGAGAGTGAGCTCAGCATCACGTTACTACCACGCTCACATACGTCAAGTCATGGAAGTTTCATGACTTTAACTCACAGGGACACAGGAGCTTCAGGTCCGACGCTGCCTCCTGTGGTCATTCTGTGTCATCGAGCTGATGAATGACTTAAAATCACGTAGTAACGACTTCGTTCCATGGAATTACTGACGGGGGAACAAAGTGAATCAAGTCCAGTGTGTTTGAAGGTAAAGTCATAGATGTTTTGGTGAGAGGGAAGTGAACGGTTTACGAATTCCACCTCAGGATCAGTTTGATATCATGAGCTCAGTCTCAAACAAGATTCAGAACAAGATTCAGCAGAAAAATCGGAGTTTTCCCGCCTTTGTTTCACCTGAGTGATTCCTCTTAATTTACGTTGTGAGCTTTCAGTGAACTCTCATTATTTCTCATCATCTCCCGTCCACATTAACATTATCCCAGTGATTCCTCATCATTCAGCCGACGATGATTTTTCACCACGACGACTCCAATTATCCCTCAACATCCTCCTAATGCTGCTGAGGCTGCGGCTGCTGCTGCTGCTGCTGAGGCTGCTGCTGCTGCTGCTGAGGCTGCTGCTGCTGAGGCTGTTACTGCTGCTGCTGCTGCTGAGGCTGCTGCTGCTGCTGCTGAGGCTGCTGCTGAGGCTGCTGGTGGTGCTGCTCTGACCTCCGCACCGCCTCCTCTCCTCCCCCACCCTCCGCCTGCGCCTGCTGCTGAGGCTGCGGCTGCTGCTGCTGCTGCTGCTACTTACGCTAAATTATTAAATGGAATTATGAAAGTGTGATAATGACTGGGTTATCGCAGCGTTCACTCCCTCAGGAGTTTAGGCGTGTGTGTGTGTGTGTGTGTGTGTGTGTGTAAAACATGTGTGTTTCTTGTACTTTTTAATCCCTAAAATGCTCCAACTCCTTATCAGTTTAACACGCAGCCCAAAGGCTGAGCTATTAACATCACAACCAGCATCAGATTCTCTCTCTCTGTGTGTGTCTGTGTGTGTGTGTCTGTGTGTGTGTGTCTGTGTGTGTGTGTCACTGTTTCTCATTTTCTCTCCTCTCTTGCCGTCCATCAACTGCCTTTCAAACTAAGTTGTGCTACTTACATATAGGTTTAGCATAGGTATACACACACACACACATGCAGGTGTGTGTGTGTGTGTGTGTGTGTGTTTCAGAGTGAAGCTCAACATTTTCTATAATATTAGGAAGAAATCCTACCTGTAAAATGTGGCTTCCCATGTGAGGCTCGAAGATCTCCGAGGCAACGGCGCTGGGACTCCTCCTCCTCTGGGTACCGATAGCTACACGCAGCACACACACACATGCACACACACACACGTGCACACACGCATGCACACCCACACACAAACAAGGAGAGAAGAAGCACAGGACAGGACAGAAAAAGACCGGTGAGACTAGGACACATTGATACAAGCAAAGCTACACACACACACACACGTGCATAAACACACACACTTTCACACGCACACACACACACACACTTGTATACAGCCTGGCGTGACGAACATACATGGCACAGGACAAAAGGAACCAGTGAGGTCAGCTGGGCAGGAACAGTGTGGGACAGTGAAACAGGTTAGCATCGTTAGCTTCCCCAGAATAGTAGAAAATAGGGAGGAGGCTAAATGCACTAATGATGCTAGCTGTGTTCTTTAAGAAGAAAGATGAAAAAAAAACAACAACTGAGAAATATTTTGCCAAACTGAATACAAACCAAAGTGTGTTCATCTGGTCGCTCTCTTCAGAAAGGTCTGTCCAAAAATCCAAAAATGTGTTTTTGTTTATGTATTTATTTCTTTACAATTATGGCCTAAAAGTGACTTGTCATCGAGGAAAAGAGTGGATTGGTGGGAAAAAGGGGACTGACAGAAAAAGACAAAGAAAGAGAATGAAAGTGAATTTTATGGGAGTAGATAAAGAAGGAGGTTCTGGAAGGAAAGGGAGAAATGTTTTGAGGATTTTTAGGAAGAAGAAAATCAAACAGACTGTGTCTAGCTCAGATGTGAGGAAGACAGAATGTTATTACACAAACATTTTTTATATTCTGTATATATATATATATGTATATATATATATATATACAGCATATATATTTATATATGTATTAGTTAAGGTTAACAAAATTCATAATACAGTACGTATTATCCCTATTATCACACAAAAAGTGTGTGTGTTGTGTGAGTGTATTGCAGGATATCAGCAGGTATTTTGGCAGAATGTCAGAACCCATTCATCACTCCACACCAAAGACCTCAGAGATGGTAGGAAAGGAATCAGGGAGTGGAGAAAGTGCTGAAGGAAAAGGAAAAGATCCTAAAGGATCACGGCAGAGAAGAGAGAGGGAGCGGGAGAGAGGGAGAGGAAGAGAGTGAGAGAGGAAGAGAGAGAGAGAGGAAGAGAGAGAGAGAGGAAGAGAGAGAGAGAGGAAGAGAGGAAGAGAGGAAGAGAGGAAGAGAGGGAGGGTGTTAAAGGATTTATAAAGGATTTAGAGTCAAAGAACAAGTGAACCTCTCCCAGTTAACGGAGCCCCGCGCTCCTAAAGCAGTGATCACGTCAATGGAGCCGTCTGCACCAAAGTCAATAGAGAAAATGAGTGATTTTAGATCAAAGGACCTTGTTGATCCACTACTGCCCCCACTGGAGAGTTTGAGTGTTTTATTGTGTGAAGTTACTGTAGTGTTAAGTTCACTGTTGCGTTTTACTTCAGTAGAGACAACTTGGCTGGTTGTACATTCAAATAAACGGAAATCAAATTCACACATTGTTGTCGTGTCTGAGTTGGAATCCAGTCGTGCGGTGGATTGGACGGTACGGTGGGCCACATTCTGCCTGTGGGTCATCAGTTGATGATCACTGGTCTATCATATCTTTGTCTTTATCTTTACATTTATTTCTTGTCATCACTGTTTAACGGTGCAGCTGTGGTTTTATAAAGAACTCCCCCTACAGTACCAGGCTCCATAGACCAAACCAGTCATTTTATAATAACAGCAGAAAGATGCTGAGGAGCCACGGCTACCTTCAAAACAATGTTCAGATATGTTGCTGTATGAAATGGTTTATTAATGTTCCTGTCAGTGACACAAACTGACCACACCAAGCAGTATTAACACAGTCGCTTCTCTGTTCTCCTAAACCAGAATCACTAATTGGAGTGACATTGACAGACATGTAAAGCCAAGCCCTTCAAACATCATGATCACAAAGGTCCAGGTATCTGATCAACTAAAACTCCAACACCTGCATCCTGTTCCTTCTGTTTTCTTTCATCATCTTTCCAGATTTCTGTCCAGACGTCTTTCTTTCCTCTATCTTCAGTCTCACAGTCTCGAGCTCATATTTTATACGTCCTCACAGAGCGCAGAGTGATGGCGCTCTCTGTTACACGTAACAAAGTTTACAGCTGCTCACATATAAACCAGAGTCAGTCAACCTAACAGGGGCTCCTTCTTCCTGAAATGAGATGTTTCGGCCGATTAACTCCGATACGGCGTCGGTCCACTAAATCACTCTCTACATCTGCATCAGCTCCTCATTTTCACCGTTCACTCTGTTGCTGCTACGTCACGTTCAATGTCACTGCAAACACAGAGAATTACAGGTCTGAACAGGTCAATACCCACTCCTCAGTGTGACAGAGGAGTCCCGGTGATAGACCGCTATCTGCTGCGAGGAGTCCAAAAAATAGACCACCAACTGTAGACCATCGACTAGCAGCAGAGCGCCGAGGAACAGTCTACGGAAAATATTGGCATCTTGTTGCAAAACGGATTTCCATTTTGAAGCCTGGCAATTTGCAGAAACACATGTTCGACGTCTCTACCTCACCAACGATTTCATATTACTAAATCAGTTAAGGTCTTTATTTTTTAAATCTTTATTTAATATTTCAATTGTCCTTATTATTCCAAATAAAATCTATTGTAAAATGTAAATGACTTTTCAGATTCTTTGCTGCCTTGTGTGGTCAGTTAGTGTCAATTAAATAAATCTGAAGAGTAACAGCAGCACATTTTGTACATGCTGATGTAGGAAACAGTGAATGAACAGTCTGCAGTCTGTTTTGAAATTATATTTAGGAATGGCCTCTTTAAAGATGTAGGAGAAGAGGAGCAACAGTCTACAATGGGATAAATACCAACTTGGCTGGTATTCAGGATTTGATGTTGTTTGTGTTGTTTATGAGCTAATAAGGTTAATATAAAGGTTTTTCAGGTTAAGGTTGAACTGTATTCATCCCACACTGGGGAAATGTTTTAAATTCAGGCCAATGGTGGATAGATAAGATTACAGTCCCACAGGGCTATGGTCCAGGACCCGTACTAGTTTGCCAGTTTTTGCATAGTTTTTTTTTTTATAAAATAATGTGCTAGCCTGTGAGGGACTGTCAGGGTATTTGGGGTGTGTCCTGTCTTCTCCCAATGTCTCCTGGGATTGGCTCAAAATGGTCAGAATTTCATGCTCAATTTTTGGTTCATCCTTTTTTTTTAACACTGTCTTTGTCAAAAAGCATTTCAAAAATAAAAAACAACACCAGGACATCAGTTAAATCTTTTCAAAAAGACAGAGGTCGCTGATGCCACAAGAGGGCGCTGTTCGTTTGGACAAGAACATCGTAAACAGGATGGCGGAACGTTTATATCCTCGACTCTTTGTTGTTTTTGTCTGAGCTTTATTCTATGTGTGTGTGTGTGTGTGACTTTATGATGTCCCTCAGCTGTCGGTCTCTCTCTCTCTCTCTCTCTCTCTCTCTCAGACACACACACACACACGAACAGAGTCCATGTGTGAGTGTATCATCATCTCTGCTGTCTCCTCACTTGGCTGAACGCCAGCTGCTGTGTGTGAGTCAAGGACAGGAGAGGACGAGAAAGACAGGGAGAGAGAGAGAGAGAGAGAGAGAGAGAGACTATGTGTGAAAGAAGAGAGAATCTAAATGTTTAGAGATGCACCGTCGTTCATCCATTCATCCTCTCTCCATTGATTATTCTGCTCTTGTTCCAAATCGGTGGAACATGTAGAAAGCCCATCTCCACCAACGTTGGTACAGCTCCTAAAATAAATAACGCTCTAGTGATGTGATGGACTGATGTGACGGAGGAGGACAGAGAACACAGAAAACTATGGAAGTAATGTCTGACCCACGTCTGCAACACACTCCAACATCTGGGTCACCACAGCTGGACTGGACTGGACTGGACTGGACTGGACTGGACTGGACTGGTCTGGTCAGTCC